AGAAAAAAAGAATAATTCATTGAAACCACAAACTAACCCTCTTTTGTATGACCACGGAGACGCAGCTGTGGCTTACAAAGGTTATCTGCGCTAGGCGTGGAGGGATGTTTTGTGTAATCAAATATAAAAACCTACAAGAAAAGTTAGTTGTAGTAACAGGTAAACAAATACTTGTTGTAAATACAATACCTCGCTGCTGGGCGACTTTGTAGCAAGCAAATTTGGGTTTTGAGGCATATAACGTGCGCGATTCACTTCTCCTTCGTGATTCATTTTTATCTCGACATCAATTTTTCCAGTTATAGAACCAAAGCCACCAAACTCTGCATATAAGTCACTCAAACTTTTACGTATTAAAGAAACAGTAAACTTCTTTAATTCAATAGACTAACTTTAATCTTATCTATAATTCACTGTCTTCAAACATTGGCAACTTCATTAACTTAATGTAAAAACTCAACCTCCTTTCTCTGTATCATATTTTGAAGCGTCAAACTGAGCATCATCAGTTGGTAACAACAGTTTGGCAATAACTAAATGATTTTGCTCATCGGAAGTGTGAGTGCCAAGTATGAGACGATGTGTCGTATAATCACTTCCTTCAACCCTTAAAATGACCCTTGCGACCACCTTACACCAAGATACATAACTTATAACCAGATAAATCATTCATTACATTAAAAAAGCTGCTAATTCAGTGTAAAAAAAAAAAAGTAAACTGGAACCTCTGTACATCTGGTAACCACTGTACTGTCAAGCTCGGCCACTCCAAGGCGTGCGTCATAACCTGAAAAAAACCCAAATCATCCATCAATAAACTACTCATCAGAATTACTTACCAAAGCACTCAGTCAACTATCCGAACAGTTACTACGAAAATTAATTCTGAAAAATACAAATGTATTTGAAAGATTCTAAAAACGTCCGTGCCCAGTAATTTTCTTTGTGAATCCGAATGAAAACATATAAAAAATGTTGAAGCCGCTTGCAGCGCATCTAAAGTTCTAACATTTTGCCTTTTCTAATGACTCTTCCTTTAATTCAGTGAATAACTTGACCAAGCACATGCTTTTTTAACTTTCTTAATTGCTGTGCTGCATGTTATGACAGTCTAATCACCTCTTCAAGCTCAGCACTTAAAAAAACAAATACACAAAGTCTTTACTTTCAACATAAGAAGTGAAGAATCTAAACAATACTTCTTTTGCTGAAAAAAAAAAGGTTGATACAAAACTCAATCACCACCCTACTAGCAAAATAACGCATTATATTTTAAAAACTGGTAATTAAAATAATGGCGAATTACAAAGGAAAACTGGGAAAACCACGGTTACCATGTCATAAAGAAATGGAGTATTCTTCTTCCATATTTTGTACTCCTCGTTAATCAAACGCTCCTCACAACCTTCTTCACCCACCATCGCTTCAAGTTATTACTTGCCTGAAAAGAAGACATGAGAAGCCGATGTGGTGCACCATCCAAAAGTTTAAAAACAACAAAACATCGCAGAAATTGCTGAGATAAACGAGTAAATCTGAATCAAAAAAAATTATCTTTGAAATAATTTCTCAAGCAACAGTGTTCATAAGAAATTCAAAAGACGTCAACAAATATGCAAAAATCTGATATTAAACCTGTAGCAATTGTGCATTTTCTAAAGCAACAACATAAATATTTGTAAATTGGCACAAATTATTGCAGCCTTAGCAGCAAAGTAATTGGATCGTTCAATTTGATGGAAAAAAAATTGGCTATCTGTTGAAAGTGGACTGTGGTAAAACCATGAAACAGCGCAAAACGAATACAACGAATCACTTGCAGAATAACTGTCAAAAATCTTCTTATACAAACATAATTTTCGCGCGCGTTAAGTCAAAATTTTTCAAAATTCTTGACTTATAGAAGCTGTATAATAAAAAATCCGAGAATCAAAGCTAACGAACTTTGGCAAAATTCCAGATCCCAATATTCTTGAAGTCAATTCGCGTCGATATCAGCACAGCGCTATATCCCTGCTAAAGTTCAGCATCTTCGAAGGCGCTTATGCTGAAATGACAATTATCCAGCACGTTGAAACTTCGCTATAGGGGTATGTGATGGGGGTTTTTAAAAGTCTGATGTAAAAGAAAAAAAAGGTTTTAGTCTACAAATCCTAAATGAAACTGAATGACTGAGTCCTGGAAAAAAAGATACAATGCCGAAAGTCGGCTACTGTAAATTACTGAGCTAAAATTTTTCAAGATATTTAGCCTTTCGTTTCAAGTATGCATTTCTGCAATTTATTCGCTTCTCTCTGCTTTTCCTCACAACGTTTTACGTTAAGCAATTACTTAAGCTGTGTAATTTTCAAATAATTGCAATTGCTCAATCCAGCCAATTCAGATAGTTAGGCCAATTGAGTCTGCCTATCCATTTACCGGACAGTTCGACCGGTAGAATTGGATGAATTGACTGGATTTCTGCCATGGCTAAGTTGTTTCAGATAACTGGAAGGGAAGAACAGACCAATACAACTAAATTAAGCTTCCTTATTGGTTGAGTGAAATAAAGTAACCGAGTATTCGACTGAAATCTATGAGAATACTTAGCTTGAGCATCTAGAAGACAAATAGGGAAAGGAGGAGAAACCTCAGGAATACACATATTTGTAGACGTAAAGTCGCAGACAGTTCTAACGTAAGGTAAACACAAAGTTAAATTTGAAAAAAGATAAAACACTGGGATTTTTTAAAATTTTTTACAGAATAATTCTGATAACAAAAAATCGCCATCTCTAAGTTTCTTTGCGAGTTGTGAAATCTGAAGGTCTTGAAAGCTTAAATAACAATTCACAATAACCAACTTCCGGTGTTTATGCTTCTTTGAATTCTACGAAAAGTCACTGCCAGATAATGTTTTAACCGAGTATTATTGTTTGAATAGATTGTTTTGTTAGAGTTTAGTAGTCTTGCACTGTAGGAAACCCTGCCAGTACCCGAGTCCAAAATTTTCGCTCAAAGCAGTCAATAACATCAAAGTACTCATTCTTGAAGCTATAATGTATCGCTTTCTGAAATCCGAAAAGGAAAAAGTTAGGATTTCAAAGTGGTTTTCAAAATGTCTTCATAATTTAGAAGTTTTTGCTTCATTTTGCCATTCGGAACTAAGGGCAGCCAGTGGCATT